TCGAATGTTTTTATAATAAGACAACACTAAACTGTATTAGCTAGAGGAACTCGATAGTCATGGAATGGGTGACCAAAAGTCTCGAACTTCTCCGTGCTTCCGAGGGCACGTTAAGCCGCTGATGCCGGCTGGATACGCAGTCGTTAATACACACATCTCCGCACTGGACGCGCATGGTGGGACATGACCCGTTCTCCCTATTCAATTTTTATTTCGATTCTATCCATAGGGTTGGCCCAAGCCCCAGCAACAGGGACATTAATAGGCTCTATCATCGTAATGATAAATCTACAATAGAATCATATATTATACAGCCTCATGCAGTACACAAAATAATGATCCAAGGCAAGTAGTCTAGAGCAGAGAAATTGTATCCACAAACAGCTCGCAATGTATTAAACATTAAAAAATATCACTATAATATTGCCTCTACATGTACAGTCGACAGTTATGCAAATCTGACTAAATTTTCCACTTCATTTTAAACCTCACTGCGTTGTAATTAGAGTTCAAAGAGTTCAATCGAGGAAATTTGACATTGCGGTAGTTTGGCGTGCAGCCGTGTGTACCCAAACTCATGATCTAAGGTTAAACCGCTTAATTGACATAGTAAACGTATAACCCCTTAACACAGTTTTATTCTATTCTGTGGTTTCAACAATGTTTACCCTCACTGAACTCAAAGCTACTTTCTAGAAATCATCCATTAAATAAAAATTAACACTTACGATGTTATTAAATTATTAATTTTATTGTCATCGAGTATAGAGGTAGCTCTAGACTCGATTAATTCGCCCGTCCGATGTGTCGTTCACAAAATCATTCACCATTTATGCACAGGAACAAACACCCTTTTGCTGTTTCGTTAATTATCTAAATAGTATAGGTACACAATGAGGACATTTTAAAATAAAGTGAATGTTACTACGAGTATATGACCTTCTGTCCATCAAATTTTATTTTTTAATACTCTCTATTTACTGTGCCGGGTCTACGTGAGAGATTTATCAAGGCATACCACGATGTCTTTGCATTGAGTTAGATTGAAAAGAAATATATATGATATGTAGATTAATACTAACTTTTACCTGCAACTTCGTCTGCGTGGTTTCTTTTGATTCCTTCGAAGGATTTCTATATGAAATCGATCCTATATCCTTTCAAAGGTCTCATTATTTTTCTAAACCAAATTTCGTCTAAATATTCAGACATATTACTTTTTCTTTTGAATCCTTAACCATTCTACTTGGTACAATTTCACATAGTTAAGTAGGACTTAAAATGCCTGTCTTAAAAACTTGATATTGAATCCTATTTTTAATAACAAGACAAAAATGGTGACTAAAAATATAGATAATAACATAGATTAGATAGAAGGTACCTTATCGATGGAATTGTAATCTGATTTGATGGAGACTTGTATTGATAAATAAATAAAGCTCCAAACTAAAGTTTTCTTTAGAAAACATTCAAATACCTTCTACCGTACAGGCAGCGTAATAAATAACAATATTATTCGCACCTAGCAGTATTTAGTGGCAAGTTTATGCAGACTTAGAATAACCTACAGAATTTCAACAAAATCCATTCTGTAATTTTTTCATGAAGTAACAACATCTAAGCCCACAAACTATCACTTTTATAATTAATATTACTAGTAGAACTGTACCAATTACCCTAGACCGTAGGGAAAAAATTTAAAACTCGCCCTTTAATCAAAGTATACCCATCCAAAGATAGACATATTCATTTAATGAAATACTAGCTATATTCCCGCGAACTATGTCACGTAAATTATACCCTAGATATGTAACCCGCGTTTGAAGTAGTTTGAATTATTTAATGTCAGTCCAATAGCTTCGGAGCCCATTCAATGCACCCAAATAAACAAACGTTGTCTCATTTTTGTTTCTAATAAAACTTAAGTTTAATACTAAAGTTAGTAAGTATTTGGTTTAAATCATTAGTCACTTAATACAATGATAGAAGAGAAAAAGTCAAATTGAGAGTGTTGACTTATTTTGGTCAGATAATGGTTTACTAAAATTGGTCCCCGTTTTATAATAAGACGATAAATATCTATGTTAAATATGGACAAACCAGTCGCTCTAGAATTCAATGAATCGAAAACACATGGTCGTGTCGAAGTTCGTTGTACATTCAGTGACTACGACAAGCTAAAATAGTTTGCAAGCTGTAATGGTAAATTTCCTGCGACATATTTTGGTATTACATTGAATTGCTCACAGTTTGCATACTGATTTTCTATAGGTTATTTTCATTAATCGGTCATTGGTGTATCTGTTACAGTAAAGCCCAAATTCTGGGAAATTATTTGGTAAATTAAGAATTTTATATTTTTATACTTTTACCATTAGATTAGTACTTGCTAAATTCGATCAATGATGGCTGGTAAATTTTAATATTGAGAATAAAATAATGAGTATTTTATATTCTTAAATTTCAATTAGCTACAACTCACAGCTATCGTATCTTACGTAATGTTAATGATCATTATGATGATTTTATAATTGCTATCATTGTTAAATACGATTATGTTATTTCCAAAGCGTTTATTAACTGATGGGTTATGTTTCGTAGAATATCATACCTACTAACCAAAAAATTACTAATTGCACAGCAGAAAATGCATCAAATTATAATTGTACTTTAATTATCGCAGTGTAAATAAATGTCACAATGGCTCTCCTTTTTATACGTTTGGATGCGTCTATCAACTTGCCTTGCCTGTTCGGTGAATACTCGTAGGTCTACAATTACAATTTCTACAGTATACCAGGTTAGGGGTAAACCGTAAGATCTGGCAAGCAAACCTTCTTCATGTGCTTACCTTTTTTTACAATGGGAAATGCGTGTCTCGCTTCCCCCGCACGGGTCTACGAGGTTATGTCGGACTAATCAAAACAGCTGATTGATGTGCTACTGTATTTAATGGGGCATAATTTTTAATAAGTTAACTAAAAACTGACAATCCCACATAATATAATTAAAACGAGACAAAACAACGAGGTCAGTAAATCAGGTAGAGACCGGTGATGATGTTACATTGAGAAAAATGAGAAGTCAATAAATTATTTTAAATTTAATAATACATACACATACATTTACTGTAAAATCGGACAATATCAAGCTACAAAGTTACTCAAATGCCTATTTAATTATTGTTTTTATTTCATATGAAATAAAGACATTTATAGTACAACAAAAAAAACATTTTTTGTTTAATTTTAACTAAAGTTAATAAATAACGATAAATCAATAAATAATCTGTGCTGAAATATATTTCTTAATTTTTTAATGATTTTTTTTTTCTATTAGACAACATTATATTACACATTTTTTAAAGTAAAATAACAATCTGATCCATTATTTTTGTTATTGTAATCATTATTTTCAAAGTTATTGTAAATTCAATGACATTTTTTTTTTAACTTTAATCGTGCTGTATTCAGCTGCAATCGAATTAAGATGAAAATAAAAACCGAATCGTGATTATGAGTTCCGACGGAGATTAATTAGTTATCTACTTTAAAAACATAAGTATTGCAAGGTACCGAGGTTTTTATTTTATATTGTGAGTGATACACATAAACCCGGGACTTAGAATAACACTCATTTTGATCTAAAAACCATATTTCATTGATTACTAACGATACGTGTATAATTGTATAAGTTTACTACTATTTAATAAAATTGTCAAAGGCGCTCTTATTTCTTGTTTTACATTGAAATGGCAACCAAAAATGAGCTAAACGAATTCTAATATAACCAAAATATAATACATTTCCTAATATAAAATAATGGAATTTGTTGAATTAATTGCTTTCTTTAAAATAATATATTTAATTTCAAAGCGTCAAAACTGCCAAAGTTGAGGACGCTAGGTGTCGCTGAAGTAGAGCACATAATATACACCACTTAAAAACAAAATTGCTCTTTCAAAATTTTGACAGGCAAAAATACATGATGTTCATTTTTGGGGAATGGTAAAGCTTTTTATGATAAATTACAACAGGCTATTACTAAATAACCATTTCATGAGTGGGGCGACTACTCTCATGAGCAATGGTTATTACAAAGTCGAAGAATAAATGATAGACCAAAGGGCATGGGATTAATATTCCTGTTAACCTGCACTCCATGATTAACTTGCTCGCATTTTTGTTTATATTTTGTTATTTAAATTAGTTTTGTGACTTTCACATACGCTAACTAGTGAGTTTTCTTTCTTCTCGTCAACCAAGAGACGTCTTAAACGGCCGAAGGGTTAATAATGTTGAACGATTAAAAAATCCTCTCAAAAAAGTTATAAAATACAGTCGATGTTCACACACAGAAATTGCCATGACACGCTAAGGAATCTATGGTCGTTTAGGTCAATGAATTTAGCAATTAATTATACTTGGATCTTGCATAATTATTTAGGTATTATTTTGTGGATATTGATGTAGGTTGCCCGTGCTTTTGGTAATAAATTAAATTATTTTTTTAAGTAAACCTGTTAGATGTTCCATAATTTATAAATAAAATAGCGAAATTAAGTTTATCTTAATAAAGACCTCTTTGACTTTGGCTTATAAATAAAGTAATATACCTAAACAGTCTGTTACGTATACTACAAAGTTTTGGTTTGCATTACAACAAAAAAGCTTTTTATGTGAAGCACCCCATCGTTTGTGCGTCACAAAAAAACAGGGGTTACGAAGGCTTCGGGCGGCAAGTGTGCTATTTCCGTATGGTAAGCGGTGGCTTGCTGAATGTCAATCGGCGTTGCCTTGCTCAACGCTTGGTCGAATGGTAACGGTGAAAGGCATTTCATAGTGGGGGAAACAGACCCAGAGCGCCTGTTCTGGCCAGTTCATTGCGAACCTCAAGCGGAACGGTGCGCAAACGCAACGACTAAACTGCGCGCGAGTTTCAAAACTGTGTGTGTTGTTCTCTTGTATTAATATGAAAAAGTGAATGTTGTGCGAACAAATATGTTACTGGTGATATTATGGAGTGTACTATTCCCAGCGTCTGCGCAAGGTGAGTTCGGAATAAGAAATGTCTCGGAGATTTTGACACATTTTTTATTACGACAGTAATTGCGAAACTGATCAATTTATATAATTTTGTTTGCTGTTGTGATATTACGTTTTGTGTACATTGGTATCTTTATAACATTCGCGTTTAGTTTGGTAAGTCTTTGTGAGACTTTTGCAGTTCAAACGCTCGAAACAACAAACAGGAAAATTTTCTTATTAAAAAAAATGCATATTTTGTCAGAAATTCTCAGTAGCTATTTGGTGACTCTATTTTTAGTTGTTCATTTAAGTACATAATGATATTATCTAAGATTGTATAAGCAAAATATATATATATATATATATATATATATATCTATTTACTTTACTAGGTACTATATATAGGTATTTATTACTTTTCTAGTGGAACAAGTTATAAAGTTAAAAATTTCTACACCTTATTCTTATGAGCACAAAAATCCTTAGTTTCGAGCTTATTAATAACAATTATAAAAAAAAAATATTTTCTCTTCAGATAAACCTTTATACTTATAAACATCATATATAAGCATAAACAATTACAAAACCTATTATTACCTACTAAATTATCTCACCAAATTGTATCATTATACAAAACGAACAAAAAATTCATGCTAATTACAAAGGTGGCCACCACCCGTGACCATTCAATTGATAAAAAATATTATGTTCACACCACGCAAGTAAAATAAGTTATTTCATTTTTATATTCAACTAGCTGTTTTTCCGCGACTTCGCACGTGTAAAAATAGCCTATGTTAATAGTATCATGTAGGTACCCGTAGCTGATTGAATGTTCGGTAGTTTCGGAGTCTATACAATGCAAAAAACCTCTTTATAATATTAGAGACGTTAACAACTTTCACAATAAAATTATAACAAAACAAGCAAATTTTGTACGTTAACTCATTAAGGCGGCGATATCAAATCATTAACTTTCGTGAATGATGAACAAAGAAATAAACTTCAAATAAACAGTAACAAAACTAAAGAGTCTTATTACAAAACGGGTACTAAACTTGGTACTTTAGTTTTAAACCATTGACCGCCTACAGAAAATTGATAACGATAGAGGAGAATATGTCATTTGAGACGCGTTGTCAACTTATTTTGGTCGAACAATGGTCAAAATCAATCGATCTGAACTAATAATATTGGCCCAAAGTGTAGCTGAGGTCCTTTCGATTCCGGCTAACATAAATATAGAAAATGTAATTTCATATTTTGTAAGACATCGGCAGTGACCCATTCCCAAATTTCGTTGAATTTAAAATACATTCTCATGTTGCTATTTTAAATGCCAATTTGTTTAAAGTTCTCCACATGTTTAAAGGACATGCGTTCTTAAAGAATCAGAGACAAATAGAAGAGGTATGGATGAGCAGGAATTTGAAGCAACAGATTTCAAGTGAAGCGAAGTTGTTTTAAATGAGAAATTCCTAAGAATTGAAACGTAGATTTCTTTCAAATACCCAGGAATATGAGGGATCGTAAAGAATTTTGAAGAGATTACATACCATCCTTAAGGAACTGCATTCACAAATGGGTATTAAGTAAACATTGTATATAGTTGTATACATATATTCTTTGCAGTCAATTTCTTTATTATTACTTACCAAGATTGACTAATGTGTCGAAGGTATATCTTAATTAGAAATGAATTGTTGGACAATGGTATCAAATTCAAATCAAATTAAATAAAATTGTTGCGAACCAGAAATATCTAATTAAGTTTAAAGTATGAAAACCAGTTTAATTGATTCGATAAGTTTGCTACAAATATGCAACCTTATTAACATTGTACATAATTGAATAGGAAAATAAACAATACTAATTCTATGAAGCACTTCTAATACTGTGTTCGAAGCTGTACTAGCCATAATAGCACTACCGATCAAATGAACTTATCTGAAGTCAAGTCCGATTTAGATTAAGTAGTTATCAACACATGACTATATCGAAAAAATGGAACTTGCGAAAACAAATGACGATTTCTTAATACTTGCACATTATTTATTAAAAAAATATTACAACATAATTTATCATTTTAACAACAATGACTTCTGCTTTTCTTCACATCACTACTAAAAGTGATGTAGTTTCCACCTTTTTGGAATCCAACAACCTTCGTATTCAGTGCAGTATTATTAAAACTACAACACTACGTCTTGTTGAGAAAAGAATGTCAAATAATTGTTTCATTGTAGACAAAAAGAAGGCCATCTGCCTCGCCGTAAACGTTTGGTTTGCAGCCATGAGTACTCGTTTAATCTCGATGATATGAACCTGCAAGTGATTACCTTAAAGCGTTATTTATAAAATAATGTACAAACTACATACTAAAATATTTATCTGAGCCCACCAAAGCTTGTGAGAATTCGTTAAAAATTACTTGAGAAAAGGCTCAGGAAGGCTAATGAAAAATGAAAAATCATATACAATAAGAAAATGCGGTTCTCATCTTAAGTCTGATTTTATGATTTTTTTGCTGTTCATACTTGCATTTCAACGCTTATGGACCGTCCATTAATAATCACATGATGCTCGTAGACGGGGGAGATTTCGTCAAAAATCACGAAATATCACGTGATTTGGGTAAAGGAGGCGTTAAAAAATGCTGAAAAACACATCACGTGATTGATAATGAACGGCCCCTTGCATTTTAACAAAGTCTCAGCCTTAAGGTTGTTTAATGATTTCACCATATGTCGGATCATATGTCGAGGTAAAACTACTCTACATTAACCTGAAATCTAAATTCAAAATGTACGTAACCAACACACAAACGCAACAGTGTTGCCGACACAGCAACTCAAATTTGCAGTGTCACCAATTGTTCTTTAAATATTGAAACATTACCACCATCAACGAAACACGTGGACAACGGGTAATAACCCACCACACGCTCCCATTGCAGATGGTTGAATGTTATCGATTGTAAGATACAGCCGTGCCCAACACATCACAGTACTCATTAGAAATAAGTTTACAGGATTCGATCTCACTTTCGACGGCGAGAATGCAGCAGATATCTCAGTAGCGCGCTCGACGGATACTCGCATGTTCGCTTTCACTGTTCCTTGACTGTGTGTGTACCGCGAAACTAGGGTTACCACATATTATTAAACAAAATAGATGCCACTTTATAATCTGTAAATATCCCTATAGGATTTTCGGGTATAAGATTCCTTGAGTATAAAAAAGAGAGATAACCAGATAATAAGAATTATTAAATTTGCTTTTGAAAAGATGTGGTGCTATTGGAGTGCTATATTTTTGTATTCTTATTGCTCTTGTATGACTTTTACGATAATAATAACATTATATTAACTTAAGATGTCATTGCTACCTTTTTTCAATTAGATTGTATATATTAGTTTCTCGAAAAATTAACGAATCATTTGATTTATATTCTTACAATATTTATATTTACAAAAAAAAACATTATTAGTGATATATTAAAATGTTCGCAACCATATATAGAAGTAAATAAAAATAAGAAATAATAATGTACACAATAAAAAATATATACTGCAAAGATCATTCTCAGAAGCACTATCATTTATGTAAATTTTATATTGAAGGTCATTTTAATTAAGAGTTGCATGACAATTTTAACAGTTAAAACTGTGCTTAAAAATAAAAGAATTCTCACGAGTTTATAATAATATTTAACACTGTTTTTTTTTCCTAATATAAAGTAAATAATATCATAATGTACATATAAATAATGCAAATGATATTATACTAATAAATGATATTTTATTTTGCTTATGTTTTATAATAAAACACTTTTTGAATATATCATTGAATACAAACTTTATGGTTTTAGATATAAATAAATGAATAAGTGATATGTTGTATATAGATACCTACTTGTATTTACAAAATATAGACTGTAATATATATTTTTTTTATCACATAAATAACAGTTTTGAAATTTTTAAGTTGAATTACTGCTATTTTTTTATTAAAAAACACGTACCTTAACATTTTAATTATGTAATTTAAAAAATATAAATATTTATTAAGGTTACTACTTTTCTTCCTAATTAACGCAAAAAACAAAATTATTGAATCAATTGATGGTTATCCTACAATATGTGCGTTTGTGTGTAATGTCCTACGCTGGTACTTACAACGCAAGGCGTGTTCCACTGATCGACATAGCTCGGTATACCAGTTCCAGATTCTGGAACAGTTAAAAAGTATATTTACTGAAGTTTTAACGACGCCGAGACGCGTTTTAAAATATGTATAGGCAAGTAAACAATGGATCGAGAAATTAACGTATAAAATAGAAATAAAAACAACTTTTTAAAATTATATAGTATTCTGAGCAGATTAAAGTGTTCGATCTTAACTTATTCCAGCCATTTTGACAGGTAACTGCTTATTATATGTCATGAAGTCCCTCTCTTGCACCCTTCTTCACCAAAGCAAGATGGATATTCAAAAAAGTTGTAGGTTGTTTGCCCACCATATCTCATCTCATCATTATTTAATTAATTACTGAATGAATTATAATTTTAACGTAATAAAAATCTAAATATAATGAATTTTCCATTTGAAATAATTCTATAAAACCTGTAACTGTTTTGTGCGTAACACTTTTAAAGATGTCAGTCTGGTTTAAAATTTATTAAGAACTATATGTGATTTTTATGATGTATGATTAAATTTTTATGAATATATCTGAAACCTAAATACAATATCGTTTATTTAGTTTATATTGTTGCAAACACTATAAATTTTTTGAAATTTCGTCCAGATATTGAAGTCAATCTTTCTGGCAACATTATTTTCTTATAAAGTTATTGCTCTAAAAGTATCTGTGCCAAAAAGGAAACTGATTTTTAGTTTGTGCGTTTATCGAGACTGAATTATTGAGCGCTCATAGGCCGAAGAGTCACCACAGCGTCGTCGATTGAATTAACAGATCGGTAAAGTGAAGTGCAGTAAACAATTCAGAAGCTCTATTTT